TCCAATTAACCTATCCCCACAAGCTGCATGTCTTTGGACGGTGGGAGGAAGCCGGAGTACCCGGAGGGAACCCACGCGAACACGGGGAGAACATGCAGACTCCACACAGAAAGACCCCTGATGGTGGAATTGAACTCAGGACCTTCTTGCTGTGCAGCAACAGTGCTAACCACCGTGCCACCGTGCTGCCGATTTGTTTTAATTCAAAAGCCTTTATTACATTTTTCATATTGTATATTTCATTTATAATGTTAAAAAACAGGAGTTAGATTTGCCCATCCTCCGCTCCAATCTTTAATCATTGACATGACAACAATTCTAGAGGGCAACATACAAATGTCAGTAGGGCCTGTGCCACCCCAGATGCCCCCTTTAGCCCTGCCCCTGTGCCTCTTTTCCACTCATGCAGTTCCAGACTCGCTAACGTTAGCTTAGAAATGGAGCAATAAGAAACTTAGTGCACGTACATGTCTGGCATCTTGTCCTCTGGCACTCCACCCAGGTAACAGCTGTTGTCAAATTGAGGGATGCCTTTTATGTTAGTCCTGATGGCATCGTTTTGGTTGTTCTTCACCATAAGTAGTTCATTCCAGATGATGAGAAACAGCTATATGGGAAAAAATGCAGCACGTCACAAACAAGTACACAATACTTACCACTAAAAGGAGCAATCAGAGTGATCGGCATGCTTTCAAAGTAGGAACATGAAAAACCACGCAGAGGGACTCACACTGTTGGGCTCGCCGTTTCTCATCTGCAAGAGCTCAGGCGGAGCCACGGGCTTGACGTCCACCAGAGAACCGTTAATATTATAGAAGAGCTTTAACTTGCCACGAAGCACCGCCACACACACAAACTGATTTTGCTGCACAGCAGACAGAAAAGAAATCCAGTTACAGAGGAAAATATACAGATATGTGTGTAATAAGTACAGTGGGAACCAGAGCCGGACATTTGATGGCCATGACCCCGGTCCAGGAGGTCGACCCTTCCACTAACGGGAAGGTTGGCTGCTATGGTGCAGCTATCAGAGCCTGAATGTTAAAGTGCTGCTGCGCATGAGGCTTGTTCAGAGCTAATGAAGTACAAATACTTCTTTACTGTATTTGAGTAAAGAAGTTGAATCAGTGTATTTTTATACACAAGTACCTGTACTTCAGTAGGACAGGACATCTGCACTTTTGCAGCTCGGGCCTGTTGTATAAAGCGCTCTGAGTGCTTGAGTAGAAAAGTTCATTCTTCTAGTTACCCTGTATAAGAAGTAACTCAAGCTTCTTCTGACGGCTCCGTATTTGCACGAGTGTCACCACAACAAACAGAGAATAACAGAAGTGATGATGACCAGGGAAGAAGTGCAAAACCTGCAAATGTGAATCCAATATGTCAGGTTATTAGAAGAAAACCTAGAACACGAGTGTGGAAATGAGGCAGCTTTGTGTGCTGCACGCACCGACTGGACTCCAGGGTCAATAAAGCCTGATAATAAGTCATGTGGGCGTAGCAAGGTCACCTAATTACTCTGTGAACTCTCTTTATGCTGTGCATGTGATCTGTTTGTTCGGTGTATGTAAATATGTATATGTACTGTTCTCTTTAGTTCTTCACTACTGGAACTTCAACACTATGCACTCCACACTGTATATAAATGCCACTTGTTTTGCACATATTCAACTCTGTATATTTTTATATATTTTATTTATTA